TAAATCTTTAATAAACAAACAGTTAATCTCTCATCTTGAAACTAATCACTTACTTTCTGATCATTAATATGGATTTTATTCTTATCTTTCTACAGCTGACTTCCTAACAATAATAAATTATAGGTTTTATTGTTGCTAGATAGATGTAAAGAAGTAAAGAATGTTAATCTTTACATTTCTAAAGCTTTTGATAAATTTTGGAATACAGGTATCCAAAAACTTTCTTCTTACGGTCTATCAGGTAACATCTTTAAGATTATTCAATCCTTTTTTAACAATAGTAGTATTAAAGTTGTCTACAATGAACAGCACTCTTCTTCATATCCTTTCACACCAGGATTTCCTCCTGGTTTTATTATTAGCCCTATACTCTTTTTAATTTACATTGTTTAATTAACAATCTTCCAGATAATTTTACATATAAGCTGGTATTATTCGCTAGTGATAAAACTATTTATTCTAATCTTGATTAGAAGCCAATACTCTCTGATTGCTTGGAGGAGACAATTGAGCTTAAAAAGGATAACACTTATGCTACGACTTACTGTGGCTGGAGAATTTTAATTCAAAGAAAACTCAATTATTTTTAGCTGATTGTTATTGCAATAATCTTGATTTTTCTATATTTATGAACTGTAATATACTTGAAAAGTATACTACAGTTATAATAAGTATAGCAGGCTCACAACGTTGAATTAACATTGTATTAACGTTATATCGTTAATGCAACATTGTGCAACGTTATTGCAACGTTATGCGCCTGCTGGGCAATTACTATTTAATGTTAAAATCCTTTGAATTTTTTGAAATCGCAAACTTTACCAAAAAATTTTTCAAATATCAAAAACTAAGTTTTCGTAAAAACTACTGTTTTTACTTAATTGGATGTTTATATCCAAGAAAATATTTTTGTTGTCGATTTGGAGTACACCTATATAATAGACCTATATATTGAGCGGTTCATTAACGGTAGGCTTATTGGTTATTTAGTGGACTATTAGAAACATCTCTCTTGTTGGTTTTTAGGTACAACTTACAATATTCTCTCTAACTTTTTCTTGCATGATTGTATTGCTCTAGCTTTTTAAGTTATAAAATTTTGTACTAATTATTTTTTTATAAAACAGCTTCCTGTTATTTAGCAGTTTGACAACATACTTTTTCCAGGGCATTCTAGTTTCATAAAAATCTTCCTTAATTTGGTATAATTTTTTGCTTCACAAACTGATTTAAAAATAGTGAATTAATGTTCTATCAAATTCTTGGTAAAATACTGGTTCACTGTTTGTGTCTGGTAATCCAAGCGCTTTTATGCTACACATTTCCTCAAACTCATCATAACTAGTATTCAATAAAAAACTCTTTTTAATGCCCAAATAAATGAATTTTTTTTCAAATTATTTCAAATTATTTCAAGTTATTTCAGCTGATGGATTTTTATGCTGTTATTTTTCAAGAACCATTGGTTAGTTTTTATTTGTTGGTAATCAGGAGCATCAACTATTATGTGAACCGGGTGTAATTCGTCACTCCCTTTTTCATCGCTATACTCAAGTCTTCTCAGTTTTGCAAAATGTTTTTTACTTGCTTGTTTATTGGATTAGATAGTTATTTTTTATTTATCTGCAATTATGTATTCGAACTTGATGCAAATTTCTCAGTATCATGATTGATTCCAGCAAAACGTTATAAATTTTGATAGGCTCATCCCACATTACATATTGTTGTTCAATAGTTTTACTTTCCTTTTGTATAGGCTTCAACTTCAGTTTTATAAACAAGCCTGTGCATATATATGAAGAACTCCTGTATCCACCATTAACCTTGCTTTTTTTACAATTGAATTTTGCTATAACTGTCGGGTGAATAGTTGTACCCCCATTAAACACCGTTGCCTTGGTTTCTTTTTTGCTTTCAAATTTACCATCCATTGTGGCACTTCCATTTTGAAAAACTGCCATTTGATTTTTTTTATTGCACTTCTTGCATTCTCGTGATTGACAATTTGCCGCAAAGCATCCATGACAAATACAGTTATAACAAAATGGTTGATAAATTTCTTCGTTTTAAGTAAAACGTGCTAAACGTTGTGTCTTACAACGCTTTAAAAATACATATGCATATTGTCAATTTTAAAAACTATTTCTTTCAACTTTATTTAAAAAGATAAGCAATTCCATTTAAAAGAAAAATCAAAGTTATTCAAAAGAATTTTGTTCCACAAAATTTCTGGTCCACAAAATGATTTGCAAAATTTACAAAGATAAGTTTTCAAAAATGGTTGCATTAATAAATCATCATTTCGTAGATGGTATTTATTTTTTTGTTTTGTTATAAATGAACTTTAAAATGGAGACAGAGATAATTTTGTTTTGCATTTATGCATAAAACAAAGAATATTATATGCGTTAAGTTGATATATGTTTAAAACTAATACCATAAAAAACGCCATCAATATTCATTGATAATATTCAAGTAAAAAGAGTAAAAACGACTCAATTTTTAGGAACATGTATTGATAAAAATCTTACATAGAGACAACACATCAAAAAATTAAGCAACAAAATTTCAAAGGGTATTCAAATATCATACAAATCAAAAAGCTATATAAACATGCGCAATTAAATGCAACCGTATTACTCACTTATTCGCTGTCATATTAACCATGTAAATATTGCGTGGGGCAGTACTAACAAAGGTAAATTAGAGCCTCTAAAGAAACAAATTGCATGTTCACTTAATTTTTGTGATCGACAAACCCATTCAAAGCCTCACTTAAAAAAAATGAATGTTTGGCTTTAAAAAGAATAACTCAGCATGCAAGTATTCAGTTGGTAGGTAAAATTTCTAATTCTTTTGGTAAAATCTTAATTCACATTAAGAATTTTTATTGATCTTTCAAAAGCATTTGATTCTGTCAATCATGATATTTTGCTTTATAAACTTAGTTATTACGGAATAAATGAAAGAGTTGGTGAATGATTTCAAAGCTATTATCAAACAGAAAACAGTTTGTTTCTTGTAATGAAATTAGCCATAAACAGTTTTTAAATGTTTCCTATGGTGTTTTGCAAGGTTCCATCTTAGGCCCTCTTTTGTTTCAAATATATACCAACGTCTTGCATAAAGCATCGAATCTTTTAAGTATTATATTTACATGTAACACAAACATATTTCTCTCTAAGAGTGACATTAATCTACTTTTCTCCATGATGAACAAAAGAACTTCAAAACATACCTAAATTGTTTAAAAAGTAACAAATAACAATAAATTTAAGCAAAACAAAATGGATTTTTTTCCAATCGCTCTGCAAAAAATGCTTTCTACCTTCAAATCTACCAAAAATTCTTATTGACCATATTGAAGTTAAAAGAAATTCTGTAACTAAATACCTAGTGGTTTTCATTGACGAGAACATCACACGGAAACATCATATTTACTATGTTTGCTCGAAAGTTTCAAAAAATATCAAAATCTTATATAAGGCGCGTACTCATTTAGATAAAAATAATTTAACTAAACTTATTACTCTTTTATCCATAGTTATATAAGTTATGGAATTATTGCCTAGGGTAGCACTGATCAAAGCAAGTTACAATGTCTCTATCGCCGTCAGAAACAAGTGATCCGTTCAATTAATTTTGCGGATCGGTTCGCACATCCCTCGATATTTTATAATCAAATGAAAATCCTTGATATATATAAACTAAACGTATATAAATTTTTTTTTTTGTTAATATGTAGAAGTATGATTTATCTTTTTTAATTTTTACAAATCTTTTTATTTTGAAACCATTAAGCAAGTTTAACATGAGGAGTTATAACTATTTAAATGAACCATTCTGTCGAACAAAATTCAATCAATTTTGTCGAACAAAATTCAATCAATTCTGTCGAACAAAATTCAATCAATTCTGTCGAACAAAATTCAATCAATTCTGTCGAACAAAATTCAATCAATTCTGTCGAACAAAATTCAATCAATTCTGTCGAACAAAATTCAATCAATTCTGTCGAACAAAATTCAATCAATTCTGTCGAACAAAATTCAATCAATTCTGTCGAACAAAATTCAATCAATTCTGTCGAACAAAATTCAATCAATTCTGTCGAACAAAATTCAATCAATTCTGTCGAACAAAATTCAATCAATTCTGTCGAACAAAATTCAATCAATTCTGTCGAACAAAATTCAATCAATTCTGTCGAACAAAATTCAATCAATTCTGTCGAACAAAATTCAATCAATTCTGTCGAACAAAATTCAATCAATTCTGTCGAACAAAATTCAATCAATTCTGTCGAACAAAATTCAATCAATTCTGTCGAACAAAATTCAATCAATTCTGTCGAACAAAATTCAATCAATTCTGTCGAACAAAATTCAATCAATTCTGTCGAACAAAATTCAATCAATTCTGTCGAACAAAATTCAATCAATTCTGTCGAACAAAATTCAATCAATTCTGTCGAACAAAATTCAATCAATTCTGTCGAACAAAATTCAATCAATTCTGTCGAACAAAATTCAATCAATTCTGTCGAACAAAATTCAATCAATTTTGTTTCACTTATTGTACAGCTCATCTCTGGAACAAAATTTCTTTGCCTAATTTTAACTTACCCCTAACTTATCTTGTTTTTAAAAATAAATTAAAATACCTCATTCTTTCTATTAAAAATATCTTAGAATATTTTTAATTTATTTTTTGATAACGGAAAAAATATTTTTTATTGACATGTTTGTTAAAGTTTTGTTTTATACTTGTTTACAATTTATTTTCATTTATCTAAGTACGATTTATTGTTTTTGTGTGACTTTTTCCGCATTTTTATTGTAAAAAAGCGTTTTTATAATATTTTACAAACTCTCTTTTGTAAAAAGCTTCTGACGATAGGATAATTATAGAATATAAAATTTATATATATTACGTTAAATGTAAACAAAACATTAAAAAAAATTTTTTTCTAATGTGAAAGTGAAATAGAGTGCGACTATATTTACTGAAAGTTTGTTTACTTTGAAGCAGTGGGAAATTTTAAGTTCATAAGTTCAAATAATATAGCAATGTTGCTGTGAGATAAAAATAAATATAACCTCCATATAATTTAAGGTTTTTAATAAGAGTTTGATGGTTAATAGTATCAAAAGCTTTTGATAAATCAATTAAAATTCCTAATGTATATTCAGATTTATTAAACGACTCGTTATTACTACGTGTAAACTGAAGTTTTGCATGTTCGGTGGAGTTATTTTTTTTTTGAAAACATATTGATTATTAAAGAAAATATTGTTTACATAGAGATGAATGTTGATTTCATAATGACTCGTAAATATAACGAATATAATTTTGGAAATGGTATATTCGATACTTTTTTTAACACCATTCTTTTGAAATAGTGTATGGAAGCAATTTATAAAGGAATGTCGAATCGTTAAACTTTAAAAAGGATTGATATACCAAGAAGTAGTATTCATAATAAAATGAATTCAAAGCATAACTAGTGCATTGGTGCACCAACCATATTCATTCATGATAAGGAGCATTTAATTTCTTCTAGAATCACGGTTATGTGTAATTTTCAATAGGTAAACTTGATTTAAAAATTTTAGCTGCTGCTCCTTAAAATGTGAAAGTTAAAGAAAAGTTGACTTTATGTCAGACTTATAAGTCTGACATAAAGTCACATCCTCTATAGAGGATGTTTGCTATTTTTATTAATTTTTACTGTTTATTTTTTTTTACTTAATTACCTTTTATTGTGTGTATTGATATTTTATGTTGTTAGATTTTGGAAAAAGCTTAGTTCTTTTTCCGTAGACATAATATATATGTATTGGTAAATTTTTTAAATCACAAGAATAAATTAAATGTTTGTAAAACAATATTTGAATTTATTAATTGTATTAATTGCTTTGTAAGTTGCATTAGTATTGTTTAAATTTTTTTTTCATATCCTTTTTATGTTCATTTAGTTATTTTAAGTTCTTTTTATGAAATAAGTTATAAGTAAAAATTTAAACTACATTAAATGTACATAATAACATTTTATTTATAAGCCAATGTTAAAATTCAAATTAGTGTCAAAGTTATCCCATTACCGGATAACTTTGGCCCTCGCATTAATTCCATAAAATATATAATTTGATTAATATAGTGAATTTATTTATTTTTTTACTTCATTTATTTTCATTTTTAAATTATGTTTATTTATTTTATTAAATAAATAACGCCAGTCGTGCACAACCTTTAAAACCAAAATATTCTTTATCAAAATTGGTACATTGTTTTACTGTAAGTATCTTAGTTCTCATACAACTTTGTTTATTTAAGGATATTATTAATGGACAACCACGAAAGATTGAACTCTAATCAATACAAATTGAGAGAAAGTTTTTATTTAGATATTGAATGTAAGCATAATTTCAAGTAAATGAAAAAGTACCTTCATGTATAAATTTTTTTTTTTGATGAAATTAAATCATATTTAAAAGTGTTTGTTTATTTTTAGACAATCGTTGATAATGTCTGAATAGTGGATACTTATTTGCTTTAACTACTTATTTGAAGTTCGTTAGTCAGCACAGCAATGTGCTTATTTGTGAAAAAACTGGTAAAGTTATAAGCAGTTCAAACAAGTTATTTGCAATTCAAACAAGTTATTTGCAGTATAAATTTTTAAAGTTACAAAAGAAAATAAAATAAAAATTTGTATTACAATTTTATTTCAAATATTTTTAATATTTTTTACTTATGATATTTTTTATAGCATAACATTTTTTTTTTTTCTTAGTTATTTAGATGTCCCAAGAAGTCCTTACGGTCTTGTCACAGAGCACCGCGGGAGTGCGTTCGACCAGGAAATTCACGCCTCCTTCTCTACCGTGACGCAAAATATGTTCAAAGCTCGTTTTGAACCTGGATCTCCTGCTTATAAAGCACGCGCTCTAACCACTGCGCAAAGGCAGCATTTACTTATATATCTATGGCTTAATGTTTATAAAATGTAAAATTTATATAAAAAAGTTATTTTGAACAATAAATATGTATGCTCTAGGAACTGTTCTCTCAAAAAATTTTGAATTTTTTGAAATCTTATCAAAAACATGCCAATCATGAGTAAACAAAATGGTTAAGAAGACCATGTTGAACATTTCAATATTTGCGTCACAAACGAATGTAACATGAGCACCTTTTTTTGCATTGAACACCTTTTAACCGCAACACCTATTAGGTGTTAATGTATTAGGAACACCTTTTTTTTTGCATCAATAACATTTTACGGCAACACCTAATCGGTGTTCATATAGTATACCGCGTCTACCCCTTTTTTCTTTAACAAGAACACCTTTTCCTTAAAAGTGTGCGTGTATGTGTGTGTGTGTATATATATATATATATATATATATATATATATATATATATATATATATATATATATATATATATATATATATATATATATATATATATATATATATATATATATATATATATATATATATATATATTATATGTATATATTGATATATACAAAACAAATTTTAAACTTAATACTTGTTAATGATTCCTTTCGATTCTAAAAGAGCTTAAATGCGCCTTGGCATGCTATGCACAGTGTTGGGTGGATTGAAAAATAGACTTTTTATAAACTGTTTTCTAAGAGCTCTAAATATATGCGATATAATAAAATATCACGGGATTAACAAAAAATTTTGAAAAGAAAATACTTTAAGAGGTGCCCCAAGTCCTTGAACATTTATTGGGTCCCTAATACCCTGGGAAAAAAAAATTCTTTAAAAGTAGGTCAACCTCGTACTCAAAAGAAGTGAAATTTTATAGAAAGTTTGAAAATAGTAATTGTTTTATAAAAAACATATCAAAAAAATTTATATTATTAAAAAACTTGTTAAAATGGCCTTTTTTTTTTAGTTAAAAAACCATTGGTAATATGTAATAAAATTCAAAATAATAATTTTTAAATAAAAGAAATATTATTTTTGAGCTTTTAATAAAATTTCACTTCAATTGAGAACCAATTTGACCTACCTTTGAAGAATTTTTTTCCCTAGATTGTTAGGGACCCTATAAATGTTCAAAGGACTTGGGGCACCTCTAAATATATATATTTTTTTTGAAATTTTTTGTTAATACAGTGATATTTTATTATATCGCATATATTTAGAGCTATTAGAAAACAATTTTTAAAAAATTCTGATTTTCAATCCACCCTACAGTCGATTGTATTGATTGAATTGTATTAACTGAGTACAGTGTACATTATACACTGTAAAAAAAACTTCGTTGTATTTATCAAACTTTTCCCGTCGTTTTGTTACGGAAAAAATCCGTTTTCAATAAATTACGGTCTTTTACCTATACTTTTAAGACTTTTAAAACAGTCATATCATTTTACATAATTTTGTCCGTATTTATGATAAAGAGAAGTTCCGTTACTTTAAATTACCGACTTTTACCGTATATTTTAGTATACTTTAGTAAAGCCACTCATTTACGGAGCACCATAGTTCTTTTTAACGAGAAGATATTTATACACGTATATAATTTCAAGTTAGAGATTTTAATATATTTATATTTGTTTTACAGGAACTAAAGTGCTGTATGTTTTTAAAAAAGTGTATTCACAAAAATTCTCTATAATTAAGGTGCTGATTAAGGATGCTGTTATAAATAGATATAGATATTTATTAAAGATAGGTACTTCTGAAAATTGGTTTCCTATATTATATAGGGTTTATATGATGTAAAAATATTTTCATGTATTTAATTATTTAAAGTTCATACTATTTAGTGTTACGTTTTTATAGTATATAAAAGAAACACTAAACAATATGAACTTTAGAAAATACAATTCATAAGAAAAGGATTTTATAGCATTGTAAATAAATAAAACATAACTTACTAATAAGTCTATTTACTAATAAGTTTATTTACAATTTTATTTAAACATCATAATAAAATTTTGATTAACAGTATATTTATTTGAAATTATTGTGTACAAAATACAGGCACAACATAACATCTATGAGGTCGCTCGCAAAAAAAAAACACAAAACACTTCATATTCAAGCTGAAGCAGAGCAAACAAAAAAAAAAATCGTCAAAACCAGATGTTCTGAAAAATAGTTGTTTGAAAAAATTAAAACAAAGCGTTATGTCAGATTTTTTTAACAAATTTCGATTAAACACAAAAAAATAGGTGATCAAGCTGTATTGGAATTTATTGTTGCAGATGGACGATCTTTTGAGACTTCAGCTGGTAAGGGTTTTTTTAAATTGTGTTCGACTCTTACTAATAAAAATTATCAACCTTCCCATCCATCTACGCTTTCACGTAAGATAAATGACTTAAAAATAAAGTTAGAAAGTAAATTTAAAACAGTAGTATTTGCAGAAATGTCAGGTTGTAAATGTTCCATTACCTTTGATCATTGGAAAGATGCAAATAATACCAATTATTTAGTTTTAACGGTTCATTATATATCTCTAACTGAATAGAAGCTAAAATCGTGTTGTTGGTAAATCTTGAAAATGTTGATGCAGATCATACTTCTCAAAAAACAAAAGAATTATAAATCAACTGCTTCAAGTTCAAATATTGAAAAAGACAACGTCCTATGTGCGACCACAAATACGACAAACGCAATGCCTGCCACAGCTAGTCATTTAGAAATTACATGGCAGCCATGTGCTGCACATGTTCTTCAACTTTGCATTAAAAGTGCTTTAAATGTTTAACAACAAGTTAAAAACCTTGTTAGTTTGGTACACAAAATTGAAGATTTTTTCAACAGTTTTTTTGTAGGTCTAAATCGTTTAAAGAAATATCAACTTGAAAAAGGACTTCCAGAATCGTGTCAACTTGCTGAAATTATTACTAGGTTTAACAGTACATTTAAACTTCTGAATTGGTCATGTAAAAATTGTATTGCAATAATGGCTCTTACGGAATGCACTTTAAGTCGTAGAAGTGCTAAAGCTCCTCCTCAAGCTTTATCGGTGACGATCCAAGATATTTAAAAAAAGTGTTTTCCATTTTTAAAACCAATTTTTTAAAACCAAACAACCCTACTTAGTTCTGATACTATTGTGGCTATCAGTTTATATTAATTTGTAGCTTTATGAGCAGCTTTAAAAACGAGTTACTTTCACAACTACATGCACGCTGTAATTTAGAAAATGTTACGCTCCTTACCTCAACATATTTAGACTCTAAATTTAAAGCCGTAATTCACACTAAAAACGAACTTTCAATTGTGAAAAACCATCTAACTGAAATTTCCGTTGATTTTAAACCATGCGAAACTACTCAAAAAATTTACTTGACGATGTATTTAAACAAGTTAAGCAAAAAGTATCTGAAAAACATAAGATTTTACAACTAAATTCTGCAAAATGACACAATGAAAATTGCGTTTTTATCGAAATCGGTATCTACAGTTGTTCGCAAACCATAAATAGTGATAAATGCCCACTTGTATACTGGAAAAAATATATATATATATATTTTCCCTGTTCTTTCGATCTGTACTAGCTGTACAAGCAACAAGATGTTCTTCTGAACGAGTCAACTCAACTGGTATAAATGTAATAAGCTATTCAAATCATTCTCTATCTAATAATAATGCTGAAACCTTGATTTGGGCACAAAATAAATAAATAAAGACATTTTATTTTAATTCTTTTTTATCTTATCAAGTAACAATGTCTTATATATTTTTTACTTTTTACTTTTATTTTAGGGGAACACAATGCAAATGTTTTTAAGTGTCTTTAAACAACTTCAAGCCATTCCAAGAAAAGTGATAGGCAAAATATGAAAATAAAAGAATAAACGAAATGTGAAGACTTAGTCCCTAATGAAGTTTTATTTTTGAAATATATATCATTAAAAAAATGCTTAAGTTTAGATTTCCTCAAAATGTTGATGCGATTCCTGATTCGAATTGCGAATCAAGAAATGCTTTGATTCGATTCGAAAAAAAAAATCCAGATTTGCAGGGCCCTATTATATATATATATATATATATATATATATATATATATATATATATATATATATATATATATATATATATATATATATATATATATATATATATATATATATATATATATATATATATATATATATATATATATATATATATATATATATATATATATATATATATATATATATATATATATATATATATATATATATATATATATATATATATATATATATATATATATATATATATATATATATATATATATATATATATATACATACTGTGCAATACTGTCGGCTGTCTCTATTTCAACTTTCTAACTCGACTTCTTCTAACTTGCTCTCTAATATCCTTCAATCATCTAAAAACCACTTACTCTTGGACTGCAAAGGGGTGATGATGATTAGTAAGCTGAACTCATCTTCGTGGGCCTTGGTATGCAGCCTCTATGTGGCAATTATTCGGAGGAGGATAAACCACATGGAGGATAAACACATGGAAAGAGGGTATATAAAATAAATTAGTATATTAAACGTGTTTAAATAAAATAGTATGTTAGGCGTATTTTTATACTTACATTTTTGTAGTGCAATCTAAAAAAGTCCTCTCTATTGTTTTAGTTATCTGATCTACATTTGTAAATCTCTATTATTCTATTTATATGATCTATATTTGCATGGTCACACAAATAAAAGCAGCGTTTTTTTTTAATTATTGTAAATTCTAATAATTTTTTATGAGTAAAAAAAACTTGTATTAAAATTAAATAAAAAAAAGCATGTAAAACTTTTTTTGTTGAAAAAAAAATCATAATGCTTGAAAATACATTGTAAAAGCTGTTTTTTAGGCAAAGTTTTAAAACCTGATAACTTGATTTTGTCTTTATGAATCAAACTAAAATTTTGTTCATAGTTTGCTAAGCATATTCCTGCTTAACCGTGCATATTGCATCCTGCTTAACCGTGCGGATTTTTGTTATTCAAGTTATTTCAAAGAAGCATTATTAACAAAATCACTTCACATTTATACAAAATATCA